CTTCAGGACCTAGGATCCCCCCCCTCTTCCAGCGGGACGGAGGGTCGTTCTTTACATCAATGATGCGACAACCATGGTGTACTAAGAGGATTCATGAAATCTTATCCATTTGGAATTTTTAAGTAATTCCGGTCTGTATATGTTGGATTGGTGTTGTAACAGGATACACCCTTAGGATGTCGATCCTGCTTAAGCCAAGACAATACTTTGTTTGCCATTTTAGGTCTTTCATTTCCAAAGTATTCTTAGGTCAGATCTCTTCTCTTCAACCTATTCACATTGACTATCTATAAATATACATCATAGGCTTTTGGCCTAGGTAAGGGTTTCAAACACTATCTTATTATTAAGCACTCAGAATTACAACATTTTTCTGGAAAATTATTGTATCACTATGGTATGGATATATCTCAACTAGGTTAGCACTTACCCATCTATACTATTATTATTTGCAACCTTTTTCATAAAAATTAAAATTACAATTAAAAAATTATAAATAATTTTCTATTATTTATCTATCTGCAGCTCTTCAAGTCCTTCAACAGCAGCTATAGCTTTGATGCATTGATGTCTCTTTTCGGTCGCCTACTAATCTTGTCAGCACATTTCCTCCTATAATTTATTCGGATCGAACATCATTCTACGGCCATCGATCAGTCTTTCCTCTATTTATGCAGATAGCGCTATAGACAAGTGACCAAAATACCCTTAATCTTTAATTTTTTATCGTTTTTTGGGGGTATAGTGCTCAAAATATATCGTATGATCGTTGGGGTTGGCTCGGTCCTAGGCAGCTTGTTTGAGGTCATACCCAGGCCAGGCTAGCCCGGGTTTCACTCTAGATGCCCAGGTCCATGCCCGGTCAGAACCAGGCTCGGTTCGGATCAGAACCAAGTCGGGTTCAGGCCGGTAGGCTTTTGGACAGCCCCAGTCCTCCCGCGTTAATTCCTCTTCAATTTTATTTGTAAACACACTCTTCCACACATAAGAAAGTACCATTTACCACTCTTCTGATTTGTTATCAGATATACTTTTCGGTCCTCGTGTTGACGTTATTTCCCGTTAGTTTTTAAGCTCGCATAGGAGTCTCATGGAGTTGCTATTATGAAATGTCTAAATCTATAACATTACGTGAAAACTAACAAAAAAAAAATCATGAAAAATGTGCTAATTAAGTAAAACATGGTGGACATAACATTTAGTCCCCAATTTAGTGTCAATTTTGAACCCGTTATTAACTCTGAACGGGACATGAAATTTGCAAACGAAGAAGGAAAAGACGAATTGTCCACAAGCGAAGGTTGAATTTAAACGAAGCTCGTCGAACTAGCACTTGATATGATGATCAATGTTAACAGAGTTTGCATCTCCTCAAAACGTCCTGCATTCGAACGGGTCACCTGAGCTGCACATGCGATTGGCAGGGGGGGAATTTACAATTTCACGCCCTCATGTGCAGCTCAGATGCCACCACTCTGACTGAGAGGGTCGGTCTAAGAGGATGTACCTTCATGGTAACATGGAGGACTCACGAGGACAGGGACAAAGTTTACCATTGTCAAAGAATAACCGAAGTTGTCCCAATTCATCAGAATGTAGAACGCGAAAGGAAATAAATTTGTCTCAGCTCTCCCTCCCAGAGAAAAGGCATCTTAAGGCCAAAAATTGTGATCTTAAAATTACATATAGTTCTGGAATATAACAGGTCTAGTGTTCTTAAGTGTTTATGATTACTGGAGAAAGAATTGTCGCACCCAAACAAGCCAAGCTTCAAATAGTTAAAATGACATGATAAAAAATAAATAGATAAGTAGACAACACATATCATAATACCAAATATTGTCAGAATTTGTTTGCCACATCGTTTTAATTCCCTTAGGATATAGATATTCATGTCAACTTCAAGTTGAACTGTAAGCTAATGGACAAAATTTTCAAATAGAGCCTTCCACAAAAATATTGACCAATATCGATCTTGTTGAGAAATATTTATCAAAATCGATCAGTTTCAGCAACATGCGCTGAAACTAGATTGATTTTGAAAAACAAAAATGTTTATGGAGTCCGAGGGATTGTGAATCCTATAGAGATTAAATGAGAATTAATCTCTACGGAATTGTGAATCCCATAGAGGTTAATCCTCGTTGGATTGTTAACCCATTGGAGTTCGTTTATCAACTTAAGGTAATTGACAATCGAAGTCCAAGGGATTTACAATCTCTTGGAGTTTGATCACGTAAAAATTATTCTCTAATGAATTGTCAAACACGTAAAGATTAAGTTTCATTTAATCTCTATACTTAGTAAACAATTTTTTTTCAAAATCGACATAGTTTCAACGCACGTTGCAACACGTAGCTGAAACAATATCGATTTAATAAATATTTCTCAACTAAACGAACTTCGGTGAATATTTGTGTGAAAGCGTCTATTTTAAAATTTTCTCCTAAACTAATCTATCCGGTCGCTTCAATCCTTACTAACTTATACAAATACAAGAACAACACCAAGAACACAGCCTTTGTCATAAATTTTTTAGGCCCGCTTCATGAATCCTTTATTGCTTCAGCCTATTTAGGGCTATCTCCTTCGTTAACCACTACCACTACCGCTATGTATCATTACTCATGACTCAAAATATATTTGTTGGTTGATACTTGTAAACACCACTAATAATTGTCAAGTATCAGTTTCGTCTGATCCAACCATCAAACTTTGAATTTTCCTATGTAAACAGAAGCAAAATAATATACAAGGAAACTTGTACAGCCATGACAAAATGAGACAGTACCTATCTTTCTTTCAGCACGTACCAAGTGCAAACTTGAGCTAAGGACTTCAAGCCTTACATAGTCTTACAGTGCAGTCAAAAAGGGTTAAGTGTTTATTCTTCTGTGTCGAACTCGCGAGCACCGGGCCTCTCCAATGGAATGAAGAGTTTGAAACCAGAGTGCAATATCCTTCTGGAGTTTAAACTTTAAGGTCATCATCAAAGGCATGGTCAGCTATTTCTTGATTTTTGTCATGGCTTGATTCCATTACAGTATTTTAAAAAACTAAGAGGCTGCATGGCATTCAAGATGCTACCCAGAGCATATCTTATAACAGTCCTTCTTTTGCCCTATGATCAACCAGTATTTGCTTTATCTCAAGCATTTGAGCTACATGGACCTTAGTTTCATAAGGGACCATGATGACAAGGAACAAAGTTCTAAATTTGCACAGCACAAGTTTAACCAGTATGATATCTCAGCTTTGTAACATATCTAACTGTGATCAAGGTTTTAAATGTCGATGTCGGGTTCATGTCGGACGGCTGAAATCCATGTCGGATAGCGAAAATCGGGGATATATCGGGTGACATGGACTAAATATCGGATTACTATATCGGGTGATGCGCATATGTATAATATCATGTCCTAAATGTAATATAAGCATTCCTACATTCAATATAAGCATACTTTATAAATTCTAGAGGTGGTGCCGACGATGGGTGGATTTCGACATCGCAGGGAGACAGTGCTGACAACGGGACGTCACAGGGAGGCAGTGTCGGAGCTCTTCTTCTTCTTCTTCGTCTGCTCGGGGTCTTTCGAATGAGTCACCGACCACCCTCTCCCCTTTATCCCGACAACGGGATACCCTGTCTCCCTCAGCTTTGGTTAGGGTTCGGATTTCGAGGCGCAACGAGAGATGGACGACGGGAAGCTGAGATGGAGGTGGGGAAGGACGTCGTCGTTCACGAAAGGAGTGATGGGTTCCCAAGTCCGCTGCAGCCCTAATTTTTCTTTTTTCTTTCTATCGGGTTCATAAGAAACCCTAAAACATGAGAACGAGTCAAATGAGTTTAGGTTTTTATCACTAAACCCGAACCCGATAACAAAAAATAAATCTAAAAAAATGGTCATATCGACCGATTTTTCAAAGTTGAAAAATCGGCCGATATGCCCGATATGGCCCCGATATTTTCGATTTGGCCTTGAAAACCGACATACGAGTTGAAAACACCCATGTCGTGTCGCTTAAGCTCTTAAACCGACATGTCGGCCGACATTTAAGACATATCGGCCGACATTTAAAACATTGACTGTGATCTTGCCTTGAATTATAGCTCAAATATTCATTAACCTCCGAAATATCTCAACATGGATGGTTTGGAATTTTGAATCACAGAAACTGCAGTAACTGGCTCCATGCTCTCAACGTCCTCCCCTCCACATAAATGCAAGACATGAGTGTCAGTTGAAAAGAATCCTAGGTTTTTCCATTTATTATTTTTTTACATTCAAATTTTTACTCTCTCCAAGCTCTTGATATATTTCTGAAGAACTTCAATTCTTCCATAAAACTAGAGGTATAGTTTGCCAAAAGAAGTCTTAAACATCTTTAACTTCAAAGCAAGCAGTTTTGGAGACCTTACTGACTGTTGTGGTCAGAAATTTGGTTGGCCTTGAACATCTTGGCCTTTCCTCTTTTGATTTTGCGGGTCAGATACCATTAATGCACAATCTTTGCAACATCAGGGAATATATCAAGGCTGATACTTTGTAAGCGTAATCTAGGAAAGCCTTGAAGAGGCTTTATTTGCTTGAATTCATAATAGTCTACCATGCTTGGGCCAAAGTTTGCATCTTATTTGTGTTCTTAACAGAGCGAATATAATAATCACAGGTTTCTAAATTTTTTCTTAAATATCTTCTCTAGTTCCATCCCTAGAATACATATCCTATGAGAACAGCCGCATGTATGCAAACTGTTATGATCATACAAAGGAACAAGAAGCCCCACTATATGCCCCTTATTTTGCTATGTATGAATTGGAACAACTTACACACATGTCATTTGTTTTGATAGGATTTGCACTCCCATCCCTAAATCTATAACCATAAATGTCCACATATAACAAGTTATACATGGTATTACCTATGACTGTCGAATCCATAGAATAATCATGGAATAAGCAACCATGTGTCTTATCTGGGATAGGAATACAAATCCTATCAGAAAAGCCCACATGCGAGCAGACTGTTCTGATCCATACTAAAGACATGAGCTCCCCAACTAACCTTTATTTTGCTCTTGTATGGATCAGAACAGCTCACAGGCATGCAGGCTGTTCTGATAGAATTAGTACTCTCATCCCTAAATCTACAACCATATGGTAATACCTAAGACTATTGAATCCATGAAACCAATATAGAATAGGCTATCATGTGTCCCATCCCTAGAATACAAATCCTATCAGAAAAAAACTGCATGCAAACAGGCTGTTCAAAAGAAGTATCTAAAATACCGCTAGTTTCCTCTGTTTGGAATAGAACAACCCCCCATGTGCGCAGTTCTATAAGAATCTGTGCTCCTGTTCCTAAAATCTATAAGTATAAACATCACATGTCATACGTTACATACGGTATCACCTATGCATTGTCAAATATATGAAAATAAAAAAAATTAAATGACCTCACGTCTCATAGTTCTTGCTATTCTAATTCATGCAAAATTTATTTCTAAACAAACATATGCAACTCACTCACATTGTACGCATCTGCAATATAAAACTTCAACATGGTTACTTTATTGTTATAAACCACATTCACAATCCACAACAATAACAATGCAAATTGCCAAATAATCCAATCATTCCGAACCCTAAAAGCTTCCTTACCACCAAGAAACCGCCCCACCAAAACCCTAATCCTTCTTCTCCTCCTCCTCGCCCTCCGC